CAAGATTAGTTTTAAAATAATTTTGCTATGTTCCATTGCACCCTACCCCCAAATTCTTTGATTTGAATTACACTAAATATATAAGTTGAATTCGGGAAATATGTCATCTTTGCAATATTGAGACTTCCTGCTCAGGGATTTGTTATGTTTTTCTGTTACCTAAGAACTTATTTTTAGGTCTTTCAGTAGGTTTTATAGTTTTCTTTCTTATGGGCCTTGACACTTCTTGTTAAGGTATGCCAGGTATTTCATAGTATTCATTGCTAATGGAATATCTTTTTAAAAAGGCATACTTTATAAATGGAAATCACAGGTATTTAGTGTTGTGTTTAGGGGATCCTATAAGTAATACCTTTCTTCCTTTTCTGAATTTGGAAGAAACTGAGGCATAGGAGATAAAAATACTATGTTCATTACTGATAAACTTGACTGGAAAATGTAGCTTTTGACCTGTAGCCGAGTGGGCTTGCTGTATTTCCTCCTGAAATGGATAGATTTACCTCTATAGAAAGAGGTAGTTCTGGAAATAGTCCACTTACCACATGGTGGAGAGCACATGAAAATATTTTCTTTCTGCAGTCAGCCAAATCCAAAAAGAGAACTCATAAGCATCTATTCTTGTCCACTTCCTTCTCCCAAATTCACTAGTCAGGCTTCCTCTAGGGTGGAGAGAGGCCATGTTCAGTTCAGTTCAGTGGCTCAGTCGTGTCCGACTCTTTGTGACCCCCGACTGTAGCACGCCAGGCTTCCCTGTGCATCACCAACTCCCAGAGCCTGCTCAAACTCATGTCCATCAAATTGGTGATGCCATCCAACCATCTCATCCTCAGTCATCCCTTCTCCTCCTGCCCTCAATCCTGCCCAGCATCAGGGTCTTTTCAAATGAGTCAGTTCTTTGCGTCAGGTGGCCAAAGTATTGGAGTTTCAGCTTTAGTATCAGTCCTTCCAATGAACACCCAGGACTGATCTCCTTTAGGATGGACTGGTTGGATCTCCTTGCAGTCCAAGGGACTCTCAAGAGTCTTCTCTGACACCACAGTTCAAAAGCATCAATTCTTCAGCATTCAGCTTTCTTTGTGTCCAACTCTCACATCCATACATGACTACTGGAAAAATCACAGCTTTGACTAGACAGACCTTTGTTGGCAAAGTAGTGTCTCTGCTTTTTAATATGCTGTCTAGGGTGATGGTAGCTTTTCTTCCAAGGAGCAAGCATCTTTTAATTTCATGGCTACAGTCATCGTCTACAGTGATTTTGGAGCCCCCCCCAAATAAAGTCTGTCACTGTTTCCATTGTTTCCCATCTATTTGCCATGAAGTGATGGGACCAGATTCCATGATCTTACTTATCTGAATGATGAGTTTTAAGCCAACTTTTTCAGTCCCCTCTTTCACTTTCACCAAGAGGCTCTTTAGTTCTTCTTCACTTTCTGTCATAAGGGTGGTATCATCTGTATATCTGAGGTTATTGATATTTCTCCCTGCAATCTTGATTCCAACTTGTGCTTCATCCAGCCCAACATTTTGCATGATGTACTCTGCATATAAGTTAAATAAGCAGGGTGATCATATACAGCCTTGATGTACTCCTTTCCCGATTTAGAACCAGTCTGTTGTTCCATGTCTAGTTCTAACTGTTGCTTCTCGACCTGCATACAGATTTCTCAGGAGGCAGGTAAGGTGGTCTGGTATTCCCATCTCTTTAAGAATTTTCCACAGTTTGTTATGATCTACACAATCAAAGGCTTTGGTGTAGTTAATAAAGCCGAAGTAGATATTTTTCTGGAACACTCTTGCTTTCTCAATGATCTCAAGATCCAAAAGTGGATTTTGTCAATTTGATCTCTGGTTCCTCTGCCTTTTCTAAATCCAGCTTGACCATCTGGAACTTCACAGTTCACATACTGTTGAAGCCTGGCTTGGAGAATTTTGAGCATTACTTTGCTAGTGTGTGAGATGAGTGCAATTGTGTGGTAGTTTGAACATTCTTTGGCATTGCCTTTCTTTGGGATTGGAATAAAAACTGACCTTTTCCAGAGAGAGGCCATGAGTCTTTCTCTAATGGAAGTTTCTCTTTACAAAAAGAAGCCTTTTCCTTTAACATTTAGGAAGACCATTGATTTTGGTTTTTATCTTATAACTAGGCACTTTACTAAAGTCTCTAAGCTTTTTAGTTGATTCCCTTCAGTTTTTATCTTTAGGTATGTATTGACATCATGAACAAATAATGACAAGTTTGTCTTTTTCCATTATTTATATTTCTAATTTTTCTTGTTGTATTGGCTTTGGTTTGTAGCAATTATAGTAGGCATTCTTGTTTTGTTTCTGACTAAAATGAGAATGCCGTTTCACCATTAAATATGTTTAATAGTGACTTCTGATAAGTAAACTTTTTCATGTTAAGAAGCTTAAATATTCTTCCTAGTTTATTAAGGGGTTTTTTTAAAAAATAAAATTATAAGCTATTGGTGTTGAATTTATCAAATATTTTAAAAGTGTCTCTTCTATTGATAATATCCTGTGATTTATTTTTCTTACCAATGAAATGAATTTACAGTCACTAATGTTGAATCATCCTTGTACTTTTGGAATACATCTTGCCAATTATGGTGGATTTTGAGTTGTTTTAGAGCAAGCTGGATTCAGACTGCTAAAATTTTATTTAGTAGTTTTGCAACTACTATATACTTAAGCAGATTGGTCTATCTATAAGAGGAATGATTCACAGGTTAGAGATTAATTGGTGAACTTTGAAAAGGTGGTCCTGGCTGAGATGAGTTTGGGAAATACCAGGTTTCTTTACTCTTGGAGATCACAGAGACCTTAATAATACTTACTGTGATACTTTAAAAGGTAGACTATATGTGGCATGCAGCACTTTCTCAAGTTATTTGACTGCAGAACCTCCTTTTCAAAAAAACATGTATTAAATTCTCTGGGGACTAGTGTTCTGAAACTTGCCTGTAATTCTCCTTTTTGGTATTATCTCTGTCAGTTTTGGTATCAGTTATGCTAAACTTGAGAAGTGAAATGGGAAACTTTTTTCTTCTGTGTAACAGTTTAAATAACATAGAGATTATTTGTCCCTTAATGGTTTGCTAGAACTTTCCTGTAAAACCATCTGAACCAGTGGCATTTCTGAGTGATAAAAATGCTTAGAGTGCACACACTAGGAAGGCTTCCCCATAGGACATTTTCCTCAACAATCAGTTCTTCCGAACACCTTTTACTTTTTTTTTTTTTAAAGGATCAAACAGCTATTTTAGAAAAGCCTAGAATGTGTGGAAATTAGACTTGAGACATTAGCAAATTGATACTAGTCAGTCCTGCATGGTCCTCACCTCTAACAAACAGCATGCTGGCACTGCCTCAGAGTGCCTCGCTGGGGCTGTGCGGGGCATTTTTGGTTAAGGGTGCAGAGCTGGCACCGCCGACTAGCCACTTTAGCTGAAGGCCAAGCTCTAGATCCTTCTCCTCATCCAGTTCCATTTTATCTTCTGGCTTGTACCTTTTCCCAAGGACTATAGGGCCATAGGTCAGCTTAAACTTTCAGATACTTCCCCTAAGCCAGCTCCACAGTCCTTGCTCTGGTCCTCTGTGGGTCGCATAAGAGGGAGACAGATATTGCTAGGAATTTGGGGTCAGTTTGAGAGGCCTGCACTGGCACTGGGGACTGCGGCCAGGCTAAGTTTGTGCTGGGTCAGCTGGGTGGTGGGGTCTCCTGAACCAGAGTGAGCTGAGCTGAAAGATTGGCCTCGGGTCCCATAAAGCATAGGAGGGCTGAGTGTCCCTGCAAGATGGGGGTGTGTGTGTGTGTGTGTGTGTGTGTGTGTGTGTGTGGCCTCGGGTCCCATAAAGCATAGGAGGGCTGAGTGTCCCTGCAAGATGGGGGGTGTGTGTGTGTGTGTGTGTGTGTGTGTGTGGTCCCATAAAGCATAGGAGGGCTGAGTGTCCCTGCAAGACGGGTGTGTGTGTGTGTGTGTGTGTGTGTGTGTGTGTGTGCGTGTGTGTGTGTGTATGTGTGTGTGTCCCTGTCTCTGCAAGAGGTGTGTGGGTGTGTGTGGGATGTGTAACGTGTATCCCAGATTCCAAGAGGCTGGGTGTCCCTACAAGAGGTGTGTGGGTGTGTGTGGGGTGTGTGTGTGTCCCTGTCCCTGCAAGAGGCATGTGAGTGTGTGTGGGGTGCGTGTGGGTGTGTAACGTTTATCCCAGGTTCCAAGACGCCTAGGGGCTTCCGGAAAAGCATAGGAGGGCTGGGTGTCCCTGCAAGGGTGTGTGTGTGTGTGTGTGTGTGTGTAGAAGGGCTGGGTGTCCCTGCAAGAGGGGTGTGTGTGTGTGTATGTGTCCGTGTGTCCCTGTCCCTGCAAGAGGCATGTGGGTGTGTGCGGGTGCGTGTGGGTGTGTAATGTTTATCCCAGGTTCCAAGAGGCCCGGGGGCTTCCAGGGATGTAAGGACTGGTGTAGGGTACAGTGCTATAGTGAGGCCTAGGAGAGCAGAGGGGACTGCGGGTCCCTGGAAGAGACCAGCTTGGGGGAGGGGAAAATCGGGGCCCAGGCTCCAAGAGGCCCGGGGCTCCCTGGTGTCTGGACTGCGCCGGGGGGCCGCTGCGGACTCTTTGAGAGGCCGGGTCGGCGGCGCCAGGGCCCTCCCCGGGCTAACGGGCCAGGCCGGCGGGGGAGGCGGGGTGCCGACCGGGCGGCGGCGCGGGCTCCGGACGCGAAGGCTCCCGCTCCCTCCTCCCGCCCAAGCCAGCCTCAGGCGCCCGGCGCCTCCCCCGGAGCCAAAGCCAGAGCCGGGAGGGCCGGAGCCCGGCCTGCCGCCGCGGCCCGCGGAGGGAGCCGCAGCCGCCGTCGTCGCCGCTGCAGCCGCCAGGCCGCGCCCCGCCCCTGCCGCCGCCGCCGCCGCCGCCGCCGCCGCTGCTCCCCGGTGAGGCTCGCGCTCGAGCTGCCGGCCCCGCCACCTGGGCCCCGGGCCCGGCCCCTTCCGCGCCGCCCGGGCGATGAGAAGCTGCTTCTGCGTGAGACGGAGCCGGGACCCGCCACCGCCGCAGCCGCCGCCGCCGCCGCCGCCCCAGCGGGGAACAGTTAAGTGAGGGCGGGCGGGCCGGGCGCCGCGGAGGCTCAGCCGAACCGGCCCTGCTCCTCCGGGGGACGGGCGGGCGGGCGCGGAACCCGGGCCGAGGGGCGGGCGGGCGGGCGGAGCCGGGCTGCGCCGAGGCCTTGCGGGCTCCGTGCCCGGCCAGCCGCGGGGACAGGCCCGGCGGCCTCTGCTCGGCCCTGCGCGCGCCGCGGCTTCGCGTCCTGGCTTGGCCTTGCCGCCGGTAGGCGGGAGGATAGCGAGGGGACCCGGGGGGCGAGCAGCGACCCCCTGGGCCGGGGCAGGTGAGGTCGCCGAGAGCCATGTCCGTCCGGTGAAAGGTGAGGCGGGCCACTTGTGCCGGGGAGCGGCGGCCACCTGCACAGACCTGGACCGTCGTTTCACTGGCGGGGCCCGGGGTCCACTCTCTGTGGTCACGTGGGTGCCAAGCAGATTGCACCTGAGCCTCGGGCATGATCTGCGGTCTCATCTGTGACCTGAGCAGAGCAGAGAGGACAGCCAAACTCCAGGGCACCTGTCTGCAGGGTGACGTGCTGGTCAAGGCACCCAGGACCCAGAGTACCATCCTTGAAGGGTGGTGAGCCTGTTGATGGTCACAGCATGGGGATGCCAGTGCAAGTGAGGCTCAGAGGCAAGCCAAGTGAAGAAGGCAGACCCGTGAGCATCTTTGTCCTCTTTGTTACCAACACACAACTCTTGCTAGATCATCAGCCTTTCCCAACCATTCAAAATGATTCTTGTATTCTCTACCCCTCCACAGCCTCTTCAGCCTGGCCCAGAGGAAGGCCCACTGGAGGGCAAAAAGGGAATGCCTGTTGCCCCTTCTCTGCTCCCTGCCCCCACTCATGAACCAGCCCTGGCTCAGTTTTCCGCCACAAGCAGACAGCAAGCTGGAATCTCTTTAGAGGCCTTTGTCTCTGATGGTTCCTTCTCAATATAATCTCATTGTACATTTCTGGACAGCTGGCTGGATCTCATCTCATTTTAACAGGGCAAGAAAATCATATCAGCTGCACCAGAAAAACCTTAGAAAAGTTAGGAGATAAGCTCAGTGGAAGCCTAGACTAACTCAAAAACTCAGTGTACTCAGAAAGTTAGCGCAGGAGACAGGTGACACCTTTCTTGCTTGTGGGAAATTGAGCTGTCTTTTTCAAGATGTTGTGCCTTGCATAGAATATTTAAATGGGGCCTCTGAGAGATGGGGCCTCTTCTGGGACCTGGGCGCCAAGACCTGTGCAAAGCAGTTGACATAGCAATTACTGGTTCACTTGAGCCCAGAATTACCTTCTCTAATCTGCATTTTTCATTCCTTCCTTCTAGCTTTTAGGCCAGACTCCTGATTTACCCTAAAGGCATTTCTCTGCTTTGCCTCCTTTCCACTGGTGAGCTTTTCCCCCATTTCTAGATGGAAGAGTACACCATGATTAAATGCAAGGATGTCAGAATTAGACCTCAGCTTATGCCTTGGCTCTCCTTATTGTGTGTTCTTACGCAAATTAGTGAACTTTTCTGAGCCCCAGTTTCCTCATCTGTAGAGTGAGGCTCATGATAGTATCTATCTCATAGGATAAGTAAGAAGTAAGAGAAATATAACAGAAGTGCTCAGCTCTGTGCCTGCCACAGGGCAAGTGGTCAGTAAAAATTAGTGGTTAGTATTCAGGGTTTGTTAACTGGTTAATCAGAAGAGTAGCTTCAATATGTTTAGTGTGCTTCTCTGTTAGTGGTTGTTATTGAGGGCCACTAGGAAAGGATGGGCACAGAAGGCAATGGGACCCCACTCCAGGACTCTTGCCTGGAAAATCCCATGGATGGAGGAGCCTGGTAGGCTGTGGTCCATGGGGTCGCTAAGAGTTGGACACGACTGAGTGACTTCACTTTCACTTTTCACTTTCACACATTGGAGAAGGCAATGGCAACCCACTCCTGTGTTCTTGCCTGGAGAACCCCAGGGATGGGGGAGCCTGGTGGGCTGTCATCTATGGGGTCGCAGAGAGTCGGACACGACTGAAGCGACTTAGCAGCAGCAGCAGCAGGAAAGGATGGGAGTAGAAAGAACACTGGACTTGGAATCTTGGGATATCTCCTGGAACCTAGGTAACCCTAGGCAAGTCATGGAACCTCCTGGGACCTTTCAGAATCGCCATTTTCTTATTTATTAAAGAGACCTAAACGTAAAACCTGCCCTGTAAGGCTGAACGAGCTAAGGTATGTGAATGTGTGCGACACTGTTGGGGGGGGGGGAATCCTCACTAAATTTAAGTGGGATCTAACCCTAACCCCTAGTCAATTAACTAGGGGTCTAAGATCCTAGTTTTGTGGGTCTGCCATTTTGACAATTTGTTGTGGGTGGGAGGGGCTGGAAGAAAAACAATGCAAGAATATCTTGCCGTACATTTTACAAAACCACACGACCACATGAACACATTGTGATCTGCTCTCAGGACCTTGGAAGGGGTGGGGGCTGGGGTGGGGCGTCTGAATCCAAGCGTCCTGGGCCCTGCTGCCACGGCAGGTTGAAAGTGCTCCCTGCCTCGTGCTCAGAGCGCGGCATCCTTGCCGAAAAGCGATGGTGGTGCTGGAGTCAAGCATGGGAAATGTCAAAGGTGCTGTTACGATGACGAAGATAACAAACGACTGCACGGCTGGACGTGATGGGCTTCAAACACTGCGTTTAGTTGGCTGCGGCCGAGTGAGCAGGGTCTTGTTTGCTCGTTGGGTTGTGGGAGGGGAGGCCTGGGTTCCCTGAATGAGCTGCTTCTCTGCAGGCTGTCCTGGCTCGATCTGAGGCTCTCCCTGGCCTGCAGTGCCTGGCCCCACTGGCTCTCCTTGGCCTCCTGCTCACTGGGCCACCACTGGGAATTGTGGTTTCCCTGAGTTGTCTGCACTGTTTGCAGTGGAGTTGCCTGCCTCAGATCTCTTCCCCACTGCTTGGGAGGCAGGGTGTGCTTGACATTACCTCCTTGCTGGGGACATCCTGTGGGCAAGCGTTGGTTTACACGACACACTTCTGGCGAGATGCAGAGCTTGTGTAGGCTGAAATGTGAGAGGCCTGTGGGCCCAGAGCCCAGGGGTCACATACTCCAGCTTTGTAGCTGCTCAGACTCCCCTGAAAACTGGAGGGCCATCTTGTTGGGCCTGTGGCTATGAGATTGTTCTACACATGCAGATTTTTTTTTCAGGTACTGATCGGCCCAGCAAAATGTTCAAAAGAATATCCTTTGATCCTTTATGAGAGAGAAATAAATGAATTCTTAATGAGCTAAATATCCCTAGAATGTTTATTGAAATGCAGATCCCAAGGCCTCAAACCCAGACTTTGAATCAGAGTATCTGGGGAAGGGGCCCCAGAATCTGCCTGTTGAACAAGAATCTTAGATTGTACTTAATGCTTACTGAAATTTGAGGGCCACAGTTATAGATGCTTTTTAAAAATACAGTGAAACACACAAAATAAAATTTGCCATCCTAATTTGCTACCTAATGCATTGGTGGCATTAAGTATATTCATGTTGTTGTACAACTAACGGCTGGAACTTTTTCATTTTGCAAAACTGAAACTCTGTACAGTTGACCCTTGAACAACATGCATATGAACTGCGCAGGTCCACTTACACATGGAATTTTTTCATTAATAACTGTTGCAGTACTACACTTTCCCCAGTGAGTTGAACCCCCAGTATGGGAGGGACCATGCATTTGGAGGGCCACCTATAAGGTATACCCAGGTTTCCGACGACTTGGAGAGTTGGTATTCCTAACTCCTGCATTGTTGAAGTGCCGTCTGTGCTCATTACGCAACTCCCATTTTCTCCTCCTCCAGCATCTGGCAACCACCATTCCACTTTCTATTAATTTGACCACTCTGAGTACCTCATACCTCATATAAACGGAATCATGTAGTATTTGTCTTTTTGTGACTATCTTATTTCACTTAGCATAACAACTTCAGTGTTCATCCACACTGTAGCATGTGTCAGAATTTCCTTCCTTTTTAGCAATAGTACTCCATTGTACGTAAAGACCCCATTTTACTTATCCATTTATCTGTCTGTGGATACTTGGGTTACTTCCACCTTTTGGCTATCATGAATAATACTGCTGTGAACATAAACAAATATCTCTTCACTACTCTGTATCCAGTTCTTTTGGGTATATATCCAGAAATGGAATTGCCAGATCATGTAGTCATTCTACTTTTTTGAGGAATCACCATACCATTTTCCATAGTTGCTGCATCTACTTTTCCACCAAGAGTGCCCCAGGTTTCCAATTTTTCCACAGCCTAAGCTATACTAATTTTCTGGTTTTTGCTAGTAACCATCTGGAGAGCATGGCAACTCCTTCCAGTATTCTTGCGTGGAGAATCCCCATGAACAGAGGAGACTGGTGGGCTATAGTTCATGGGGTCGCAAAGAGTCAGACTAAGTGACTAAGCGTAGCACAGTAACCGTCCTCATGGATCTGAGATGATATCTCACTGTGGTTTTGGTTTGCATTTCCCTAATGAGTAATGACACTGAACATCTTTTCAGATGCTTTTTGGACATCTGTATATCTCCCTTGGAGAAAAGCCTTTTCAAGTCCTTTCCCCCTTTTTTTTCATTAAGTTATTTGCTTTTTGTTATTGCTCTGTTGTAGGAGTTCCTTATAGACTTGGATTTTAACCTCACATATATTCTGTTTGTTTGTTTTTCTTATTTTATTTTTGGCCGCACTGGGTCTTCATTGCTGCATGTAGACTTTCTCGTTTCAGTCTATGGACTTCTCATTTTGGTGCTTCTCTTGTTGCTGATCACAGGGTCTAGAGCACAGGCTCAATAATCGTGATGCATGGGCTTAGTTGCCCCTTGGCATGTGGGATCTTAACAGACCAGGGCTCAAACCCATATGCCCCATATTGCAAAGTGAAAAGTGAAAGTGAAAGTTGCTCAGTCGTGTCCAACTCTTTGCAACCCCATGGACTGTATAGTCCATGGAATTCTCCAG